TATCCGTCAAAGGCTCACAGTTCTTTTGGTACTTTGTTAACACGATTCTTAATTATAGTTATCATTGATGTCACCTCAAAAGAAATATGTACGGAAGTGTCTGTGACTACGGGATCGTTTATGTGTCTACTATTGGAACTTATCCAGAATAAGCATAAATTCGAATTGGACCAGATGTATAGAAAAATCAGGGTATAATTTCTTTCCTTTTGTCCTTCAAAGTAATCCACTCGGATATAACACAACTGTGCCAACGCCTTTTCCAATCTCGAAGCACTTCTGATTTGTGCATTTCGGTATGGCCATCAGCTCATTCTTCAATTCTGACTTAATCTGATCAATTGTGGCAAAACGCTTTCCTTTCATTGGTTTTCAGTTTTGGGAATAGGAAAATAGCATACAAAAACGTGACTTAGATTTTCTGTTGTCAGAAAAAGCTACTAATCGAAATTGCTCCTAATGTAAGGACATGATAAACATGTATGTTCGATTATAACATAAACAAAATATCGATAATCGAATGTCCCCAGCCGCGAAAAATGGAAATTCCCTTTCTTTGAACACACCTCGTATAGCCGTAAATGCTTCTGTTTCAAATACCTTAGAAAAATTTTCAAAGCTACAAGGCCAAATCATTTTGATAGACTTAAGATTTTCAATGTTTGGAAAAGTAAAGTTTTAAATTTCTAGCTACTACAATGAAAAACTATGAAACGAAACTAATAAAAGAACAATTTAATTTAAAACAACTGTTTTATTTTAATTCAGTTTTAAAAGCAATAAAAACTCAAAATTCAGCCTTTTCTTAAAAACAAAATCATTTTATAATGTTTCTTATATACTTCTTAATACTTTTCTACAACACCTATAAATTAAGTGAATGATATACGATTCACGCTTTTGCTTTTCCTCTTTGGTTGTCTCCTCCGGATTATCCTTTACATTCAAGTGCGCTGGTCCAGTTTGTTGAATTTGGATCACACGCTCGTTGGACTTATCTTCAATGGCCGGCTTTGGTACACTAACTGTTAAGACGCCATCCGAAGACAGTGTGGAAACCACTTTATCGGCCTTGAATCCTTTCGGCAAAGCGTAACGACGGACAAAGTGTCGTGAGATGTAACCATGATCATCTTCACGCTCCTCATGTTTACCCTCGACCACGATGTGATCATCGACCACTTTACATTCAACTCACTGGGCTTGAATTGCTGTACATCCATACTGGCTTGGAACCCATCCTTTCCAATAGTAGCTAATGGCAAATCTTTATCCAATTTGCGCAAACGGCCACTGGGCGTGGTGCTAATGGCGGGCCAACGTGTGTAGAACACTGGTTCGTAGAATGGTGTCAAGCGGCTCAAGTCATCAGCCAAGCTCAAGATTAATGGTAGAGACGACATTTTACGTTTGTATTTGTTAATTCCACTTCTCAAGAATAGAAAATAAAATTCAAAACAGTTCTTCCACTTTATTTTTAGTAAAAGTTTTGTTTGAAGTTTTGCGCGCTTGTTCAACGCTTTCTTATTGCTTGCTGTTTGAAATTCAACATGCCGCCAATCGCGAGTGCCGGTGTATTTATACTCACAGCGGCGGAGCAAACTTTTCGACTTGGTGAGAGATAATAGCAACAACAACCATACTAAGCAGAGTTAATCATTTCAATACACACGTGTACATGCAAACATTTTTGCGTATATTTCGTATAAGGTTTGTTTGCCAAACAATAGAATGAGATTTTGGCTTCCAGAAATTGCATGAACATTCCTATTTATTATATCCATATGTACGTATTATATGACTTTGCCAACTGGTTTGTGAAAATAAGTCGATATATGTATGTACATACATAAATGTATATCCATTTTGTACATGAACACTTATGTTTGTATATGACACTCATTTAATGAGTTCTTGTGAACTTTAATAAAAGCTTATGTTGATTAACGTTATCTATGGGCCTAAGTTTTTTATTCTAATGTACATACATACTTATGTAGTATATTATGTGTATTGTTTGCTTTATATTTTATACAAATGTATATAAGTATGCTTTACATGTACTTACCATTTATTATTATTTTTATTAATGAAGTTTCTGGAGATAATATCCATAGATATGTATATGGAGAATGCCTTACATATGCATACATATATGTATGTATGTTACAAATAATATTTATCACAACTGACTTTAAATGTCATTGACCTCAGTTGTATAGGTTTATATAGATATAAGTATGTGTGTATAAGTATATACATATTTCTTGATATCCGACAGGACTTAGCATATTCTCATATTTACGATGACGTATTGTATGGAGCGGTATCCCTTATTTACCAAATCATATTATGCTGATTGAATTATTTCTGCTTAATTTTATTCAGATATCTCTTCCACTAATCAATATGTAGTGTGCACAGGTGCCATTTTTTATGAGCCCTCTAGTCACTTTTAAGCCAACTAAAAGATATATGATGTTTTGAATATCCTAAAGAGGCTCAACTCCTAGTTAAGCGAGTCCTCATATCCGCTCGTATCCGATATGGATATGTGCCTAAAAGTTAGAGCGACTTTGATAATTTTTGGATGTGAGCTTCTGAACCACTTTAGACAAATAATAGAGAAAAATTTTAAATTTTATAAAATTTTTATTTAAAGTTCGGTGCCATTGACAAATTTTCAAATTTTTGAATAAAGGGCCATCATACCACCTATTTGACTTTATGCTTGTGGATTAATTGTTCGAAAGGTTATTGCACTTTTCGTAGTTTTAAAAATTATTATATTAGAGTTAGTAATAGCAGATTTAACCATATTATACATTTGTACACTGGAAACAAAAGTAATATCTGAGCCAATAAGCCATTTGCAGATTTAATATACTACAATATATACACCAAAAACGGAAATAAGATTTTCTTTGTCAATGTATTTATTTTTGGTAGCAATATAATACTATATAGTCTGTACTTCTATATGTATTTATTAAGTTATCTCTAATTGAAATTGTAGTGTGTAAAGTGTTTGCCCGCTAACATCGAAATTTCTTGAATCGAAAGTTCTGGCCAAACAAATTGGAACAATGAGCGCGCATTCGTCAAGTGAGAGAATAGAGAAATGTACATACTTTGATAACGTCGCGGTAATCTCTCAGCACGTCGGAATGGTTGCTCCGCCAGCTGTGAGTATAATACACCGGCACTCGCGATTACCGGCATAGTTGAATTTCAAACTGCTAAAGTAAAAAGCGTTAAACAAGCGCGCAAAACCTCAACAAAATCTAAACAATTTTTATAAAAACAAAGTTAAAGAACTGTTTTTGAATTTCTATCTCGAGAAGTGAATAAACTAAATACAAAAGTAAAATGTCTCTCTACCATTATCTTGAGCTGGCTGATGACTTGAGCCGCTTGACACCATTCTACGAACCAGTGTTCTACACTCAGTGGCCAGCAATCAAAACTTCCCAAAATGGTCGTTTGCGCAAATTGGATAAAGATTTGCCATTAGCTACAATTGGAAAGGATGGGTTCCAAGCCAGTATGGATGTACAGCAGTTCAAGCCCAGTGAGTTGAGTGTGAAGTGGTCGATGATCACATCGTGGTGAGGGTAAACATGAGAGCGTGAAGATGATCATGGTTACATCTCACGAACTTTGTCCGTCGTACGCTTTGCCGAAAGGATTCAAGCCGATAAAGTGGTTTCCACACTGTCTTCGGATGGCGTCTTAACAGTTAGTGTGCCAAAGCCAGCTATCGAGGATAAGTCCAACGAGCGTGTGATCCAAATTCAACAAACTGGACCAGCACATTTGAACGTAAAGGATAACCCTGAGAAGACTACCAAAAGAAGAGAATCAAAATTATAAAGTTCAGTTCGTGATAGATAAATTTATTAAGAGAAAAAGTCTGTTTATAATTAAGTTTGTAAATAAAATTGACTAATTTGAAACTTAGAAATGTCTTTCATTGATTGGTGTATGTGTGGAAGCGGAAAACAATAGTCATAGCTTTGAGTTTGACATGTCTTGGCGTAGTGAGTGATGTTGCTTTGACAATTACTCAATGGCGTATCTACATACAAATATAGAGTTCACTTCTGGTAATTTAACTTTTGTATAGCAGGTTGATTGTTGCTTTCGATGATCAAGCATTGATCGGACTACATATATTTGATTTTCTCTAACTGCCTTTTTCAGTTTGAGCGTACACTGAAGCTGACAGCGCCAAATTATCAAAAGTTGCGACTGTCGGAGGGTTGTTGATTCGAACCACATTTAAAATCAAACGCTTTTAATTAAGACTGCTCATTATAGAATAATTTCAAGATGATTATTTACATCTCTCTCACATGTAATAAAGACTTTCTTCACATACGTTTCTTCTGCGACAATATTATGGATAAGACTCGCCTTGGTAATGAAGGCTAGAGCCAATATTAAAAATACTACGCCATAAGAACAGTCATCTGGCGTGCATCCATCATTCCTTTCATATTTATGGGAAGAATTTGAAGATATTGCCATATCCAAGGATTGCTTTTGCTTTATCAGGATTTGACTACTAAGAGGTCTTACTGTATCTACCTTTAAACCAGATATTCCGTAATTAAATATACGTTTATGCAAAAGCGAAAGGAAGGAAGCAAGTTAACAAAAACAGCGTTTCTACAACTAACCAGTAACATCTTCAATTAAATCTTGTAATTTCTTACAAAGAGGTCCTTGCTACCACTTTCTGACAGCGTACTAGTTTAAATTAGGGGATGATGACGCTTTTTTTCTCAGTAATTTGTTCTCCTATGTAAATATCTGAGCTAAATCTTTTAATCTTTATAATTCATATGAAATTCTGACATTAACTAGAATTTCTCTATATTTATTGAAACTATAAAACGAATATAAATATTCTAGAATTTAAAAACAATAAACCGAGTTTATTGCTTAAGTCTTTTGTTTCAATGCGACTAAAGCTTCTTCAAAACTAAACGAGAAAATGTTCTCGGCGCAGCAACTATTTAAAATTTAAATTGTTACAAGCTTTCTCTCATAGAAAAGCTGAAAAACCGGACATATTGCAAACAGCTGATTCTAGCTTATAGCCAAGGTAGAAAAATGGAATACTTCGCGAAATAAAGGAAACTCTAAAACTCACTGGTATACATAAAAGCACATTTCGATTTATCTCCTTACGCTTTGCCGAAAGGATTCAAGTCCGATAAAGTGGTTTCCACACTATCTTCGGATGGCGTCTTAACAGTTAGTGTACCAAAGCCGGCTATTGAGGATAAGTCCAACGAGCGTGTGGTCCAAATTCAACAAACTGGACCAGCACATTTGAATGTGAAGGAGAATCAAAAAGAAACTACCAACGAAGAGAAACCAAAAGCTTGAAAGTGAAGCATTGAAAACTACCATAAGTCACTCACCATTTTTTTATTTCACACGATTTTATTCAGTATTTATAAGTGTTAATTAATTCCTAGGAAAAGAAAAGTCTGTCTAAAATTTAAATTTGAGAATAAATTTTCATTAAAAACAAAAAAAAAAGTATTTTGTTTAATTTATTTGCTTTCATTGGAAGTAAAGTTATGATTTGTAACGGTACTCAATTGAGGGGTATAGGTATATGTATATATGTTTTATATGAGTTACAATTCAGATTGAATATTTTCTGTAATAGGTATACCCATGCAAAGGGTAGTTGGGTTAGGGCGAAAGTAGAGACGTGCCGCTTTTTAGAACAAGTTTGATTAAGGTTGTTCGGCAATGTGCATACCGGCAATTGTATAAATATTAGGGTGGAGTTATTAGTTTTAAAATTTCATTTGGCAGAAAATGCGTTTTGGTCAAGAAAAAAATGAATATAATTAGTCAACATTTTTTAGTCGATTTGAAAATTTATTTGAGTTATTATTGACCAAAACTCCGATGCCTTTTGGTGATAGAGCTACTCATACAGTAATTCTGGGTTAATGCAGCAGATGTTGCTGCTTCAATTTAGGTTTGTGTCAAACTAATACCTCGGTCTGTTAACATGATCTATAGGCTTTAATTTTCCAACCACGGATGTAAATATAAAACTTTACAAATAATGCGGTGTAAAAGTGTTTTTGGTTTATTTAAAAAGGTAGACTGTTTTCAACACTGTTTACTAAAATACATGCTCTACGGGTTCGGAACCCTTTCAAGATCTGTGGTGTGTGTGAAAATCGTGGTTGATTCATTCTTAAGGGTCTCTCTCCGGATTTCTGAAGACATTTTCTAATTAATTCCAAACTGGCGATAAGAATGATTCAATAGGCTTTCCTTACATATCGACTATTTTGGATCCAATTTGGTTTCAATGGTTAATGATAACATTTCCGTTACGGCCCTATGCAACTGTCTGAAACTGGTTTACGACCTCACTTACATAATTTCAATATAACGCTTTTTGAAGTCAATAGTTCAGTTGACCCTTAACCGGCTGACGTATTGCTTTGATTTTTACCTGATAGATATGTAGATAGATTTTATATACATACATACTTATTTGTGCACAAAAAGCTCAAAAAGCACTTTGGGCACTTCCAGAGTACACAAAATTCATACCTAACTTGTTCTACGTATGAACATATGTATATATTGTTATGTACAACATAATAAATATCACCGTAAATCATAACTACATGTTCACTTCCAAACATACATCCATATGTATGCAGTAATATTCATTTATCCAGTATACATACTTATGTATATGGTTCTGTGGCCCCAGTTGTGTAATTGAAGCACTTTTAAAGCCATTCTGGGGGTAAGTTTGTGCGTACGTGAATACGCACAAATTCGCATATGTATCTTACTTTGAGAGCAAAATTTGTCTGCATAAAATTATCTCAAATCAAAAAAAAAAAATGTATTGTATTATTACAATATGTGAATACAGTTAATATTCGAAGGTTAAGTCTTAACTTTGATTTTTGACAAAATTGAACAAAATTTACACTTCAGAGAAGCTTAAAAATAAATTAATTATTATCAATATTCCTTCGATCATTACCTGACAAATATATTAAAGAAGGTTGTGTGAAAATTTTAAGACCATCTATCCAGCCGTTTCGGAGAAATTTTCCTCACCGACTCTGAAAACATCGTTTTATGAAAAACGCGTTTAAAGTTTTGGGAGCCGATTACACTAAGTTAAAATTTTTATACAAATAATTCGATATACATACATACACACAAATATACTTATGTATTTTTTGGAATTCGCAAGTGAATATAACCCCTTAAACCTTCGCCATTCTTTTTATTAATAGTAATAGATTTTCCAATAGTTCAAACCATGGTGCTGTAATATGTTGACAAAATTTTAACTCAGCTTTGTAAACAATAAACAGCTGATAAGTTTTGGCACTTTATTAACATTTTCCAGAACGAGTTTGTTGGCACTTCTGAAGATACATAAGTATGCTAGTAATTCTTCACACTTTCTAGTATTTTCTGGTGAAATAGAGTACATTAATTAGATGTCATATATTTTTATTTATTTTTCTAGGTACATCTGTACATCTACATAACTACGTATAGATTTTAACATTTGTCGCTATGCTTACCTTATTTTTATGCATACAAACATACATTCAGATACAGTGTATTTAAAAATATTTTGTTTATCACAAAAAGCCGGTAAATAAAATTTGCACAGAGAACCGGTTAGGAAGACTGCAAAAACTCAGAGCGTTAAGTAACAGATTCTCTTTTTCTCTCACATAATATTCAATTGATCTCTTTCGTAAGCAATAAGCTTACCATTTGCCACATACGGCGTATAGGGTAAACGCTCAGTATCCAAGCGCAAATAAATTTGCTATGGTGCTCAAAGAAATTTGGTTGACGCACACAATTGGAAAAATGTAGAAATGTATAGAAAACGGGAGAATTTTCGCTGGTGCTCTGAATAATGCGCTCTTTCTTTCGACAGCGGATATAAAAGCAGCGGCGCTTCCTCGTTGCCCTCAGTTGAAAATAAAACTTCGAAGAGTAAAATTGTGTACAGCGAAGGGAAGTGAAAACCAAAAACATTTTTAACTTTCTTGTTGAACTCAGAAAGTCTTAAATATTTTTATTTGAGTGTAAAGAAATATAATAAATTCGAACAAAAATGGCAATTGTTCCACTACTAGCAAACTTGGCTCGTGAATTCGATACCGAATATAGAGATTTGGAACACTACTGGGATGATGATTTCGGTTTCGGTATACATCCATTGGAAATTTTCCGACCGATGCGTCATGGTCATTCGTTAATGCTACAGCCACGTCGTCGCCATTATCCATACGATCGCGCACAAGTGTTGGCGCGTCGTTCCGCACGTTTGGGCAAGGATACGGCTGAATGTTCATCGTTAATACCCACTGTCGGCAAAGATGGCTTCCAGGTGTGCATGGATGTGTCGCAGTTTAAGCCAAACGAATTGACCGTTAAAACTGTAGACAAGACGGTGATTGTGGAGGGTAAACATGAGGAACGTGAGGATGACCATGGCATGATACAACGACACTTTATTCGCAAATACACACTGCCGAAAGATTACGATCCAAAAGATGTGGTGTCTACAATCTCATCGGATGGTGTACTCACTGTGAAAGCACCACCACCACCAAGTAAGGCTATTAAAGCGAATGAACGCGTCGTACAGATACAACAGACAGGGCCGGCACATTTGAGCGTCAAAGCACCGGAGGAAACTAATAGCGAAGGCAAGGCGAAAGAGAATAGCGATAAGAAATCTGCAAAATGAGTGAATGCATATGTGCAGAAGAAGTTGCGTTATAAAAGCACCATATAAAAATTCGTCACCTCACACTTCATCATCAACATTTCTGGTCATTGCCACTCATTTAGTTTAAGTCGACTAAAAGCTATTCCATCACTAAGCATTTAATGTTCCAGTGTTTTATAATAAATAAGAAATATATACTTTGTATTTTCTTTTTTTTTTTTTTGTAATACAAAATTTTCGGTGACTACTGTGTAGTAAATACTATGAGAGACACTCGTTTGTAACCGATATTTGTTTGTCAAATAAATAAGTTGTTTGTACGTTTTAAAAAATCAAATCAAGTTGTTTTAAATTTTCTTTGGTCGAAAACGGAAGGAATGTCTTTCATTTCTGAAAAGTTTCATGTATTTAAAAAAATGTTAGGTTACAGAATCTTATTCTATAATCGTCCAGACATTAGTTGGCGTACATTCGAAACCGCAATTTTAACTGATAAATCCAATGTAGAATGGGCGCTATCTTACAGTCCTCCAAGATGGAACTCCCATTGAAAATTGATTAAATTGCGAAACTAATTTCGTTCAAATCGTTTAAGGCATTGTATGTTGCAATCTTGTATCTATCATTCTTGGTTCTAGTTCTAGTCTTCTGTAGCCTCGCTGTGGTTGCTCTTATTTTTTCATGGAATAGCAACAACACCTTCTTCAGATATTTCTCTCAATCTTAAATTCTTCCAAAGGTCTCCGAATAGTTCTTTTTTTTTAGAAGTTTTGTCGCAGTTCAATCTGTTGTGTTTATGTGTTGTAAATGTCATTGAAATCACCCAACGGGAGGTATAGAAAACGCGCTATTTTGATGGGGTCGGACCATACAGAAAAACATCTCACGCGTCGCCACGACAGTCGGTTCTACGATAACGGAATTTTATCCAGCCACGTGTTGTTCGTTTGGCGATCTAACCCTGTTTGGATCGGTAAAAAGCCTGCCGCATTTTAATCTCTTTTTATACCCTACACAAGGTATTTTAAGTTTGCCCAGAAGTTCGTAAAGAGATCACAGTAAGCCAGTTGATGCACTTGTATTTCAAATCTGTCAGCGACTATCCTCTTGCTTTGTTTCTAATAACAAACCCAATAAAACTGATTTCCGTGACACCCAAAAATGATACAAATTTTGTTTCGGACGTCATAACAATAATATTTGATTTCATGACATCTACTACGTTTTTTTTTTATCGATTTCAATTGTGATTCCGTCAACGATCGGATTCTACAACACCCCTGTGTAAAATATATGTATATATACATACATGAATGATCGGAGTGACGAGCTGAGTCGATTTAGCCATGTCCGTCTGTATTTACGCGAACTAGTCCCTCAGTATATGAGATATTGATCTGAAAATTTGCATACGTTCTTTTCTTTTTAAGGAGCTGCTCATTTGTCGGAATCGCCGATATCGGACATTACTCCACATAGCTCTCATTTTCCGATCAAACTCAAGAGCTTATATGGAAAAATTTATAATTTTACATGGTATCGTCACAAAATTTGTCATAGATCTTAAATTAAGATATCGCTACAATCTCCAAACAAAATGTTTAGATCGGACAACTATAGCATATCGTCGAAAGACATAATTATTTAAATTTTTCAAATGCCTATCCCCAAATAGTCAAAATTGATATAAAGACTTGGTAAACTATTCCCATGTTTTGGTAATTTCAGTAATTAAAGTAAAAATACTTCATACATATACATACTTGTAATTAAGTTACTCTTTTTTATTTTCCACAAAAAAATTTTAAAATTTTTTGCTTTAAAATTACATTAATAATATAGATATAATTTTACATAGTTTTCCATAGTATGCGATTCATACATACTTTCATTGTAATAAATGTAATGTAATTATTAATTAAATTAATTACAAAATTCCATTTGCTTATGATTTTATACTTGTATTTTGTATACATACTGTACAGAAATCGGAAATGAAAAAATTAAAGAAGTTCATATATATTTATATAATTAAGTAAATAAGCTAATAATGTATAGAAGTATTATTACTGGAGGCAGGCGCATTAAATAGAGGAGGAAGAAATTGGCAATTTGAAAAGGTTATTGTGAACAGGAGTTTTAATCTCAAACATGTTCTAGTTAAAAACAAGCGATTGTTTCAAAGCGCAATCCTAAAATAACGGTTTATTTATGTATTTATAGAAAAATATTTGCTTCTTTTCAAGTTTCATATTGTTTTCACTTTTCATTTTCATTTTGTAAGTTTATTATATATATGTATGTTTGTTTGCATGTCGTACTTTTAGTATCCACATCGAAAATATATGGATTAAGTGAGCTGATTATTGACTCCGCTGTACTATATGATACTCTTGTACTGTGAAATGTTTTAATCATGTTTATTTAAAGCATATTGATACTTTAAAAACAAAAAAAAAAAATATGTAGGTAAATACTTATGTGTGCTTTTCACAAGTGTATGTGTGTGTGTAAATCTATGTATGTTCGATTCGCAAAAAAGTCTAAAAATGACAAATTGTTTAATCACAGTTTTTATTAAGCATTAACTTTTCAAAATCTCAACACTTTTTTCACTCAATGAAAATATGTATGTATGTATGTATATATTTCGTATGAAAAAGTGAAAAGCAGAGATTTCGAAAGTAAATGCGGTCTGAAAAAATTATTTTCAATGCTGCTAAGGTGTTGCTTTTGCATTGCACGCAACTGTATGTGTATTTGTGTTATAATTTATGCTCTTTGAGTTATGAAATTATAGAGAGTAGCCGGACAAATCCAATATTTGTTAGAGTTTTCATTCAAGTGAATATTTTTTAGTTGATCATAAATTATTTATATAGTAAATTCTGTAATAATACGAAATCAACAAAAGAAATATGTTGATCTACTTAGTTGTTATTAAACATTTGGCACACTTTTTTCAAGTTTTCTCGAAAAATTTCAATATAAATCTAAGGACTTTTGGCAAAAAAAAAAAACTTAACTGACTTTAGCATATCTTCTATTGACTACATTTCTATTGAACTTTCATAAAACATATAACAGGTGTACCGGTGTGAAGTGAGCGTTAAGATACAAATGTGTTGGTAGGGCACATTTGTTGTGAACGAACCTTAATTTTTTTTCTGTTTGGTTGGCATGACATCTGTCGAACATATTGAATAACCTTACAGTTATTAAACAAACAACATCATATTTTTTCATTGTGTTGAAAATATCAAATTTTGTACCGGAAAGCATTAATTTTTTGTTTCCATTTGAAGAAAAGTGCTGCAGAGTCGCATCGAATGCTTGTCGGGGCATATGGTGATCATGTTCTGTTAAAAAAACAATGACCAGTACTTTGAATTTTTTTTTGCTACTTTCATGTTCAAAATTAATATTTCATTATCACAAAAAACGCTCATTTCATACAGGTACACTGTAAATTTTTAAGAAAACTTTTTAGAAAGAAGGTTCTCTAATGAGGGATCTTTTTTAGATATTTAGTTTGGTAGTTGAAAATTGTTTTTTTGTTATTTATAGCTTGGGAGCGTAAATATGCCAAGTCGAGTTCAGATGTTTTGTCAAATTTTCTCAAATATAAGTATAAATTACACTTTTATTTGATGTTGAATAAAGCAAAATAATTTAGAAACGCTGATGTGTATAACTACTAATGATATTTACATTATTGGAGACTGAAAAAAATTTCAATTTTTTTATCCCTACAAGGACTGTCAACTCGGCAACTTTCTTCAAAATTATTTCAGAGATGTTTTTGCCGCTCATCAACAACATACCAAAATTATTAAAAATTTGCAAAGATAATAATTCCACGAAAAAACTACACATTATGAACATTTTCCATAATCTATAAAAAAAAAAATATTATAAATTATATTATTTTTCCAAATATCGGATTTGTCCTGCTTCCGCACATAACTACAAAAATTATATAAGTTTAAAAAACAGCAAACTTCACATTTTATATATTTTTTTCCTAACTGCAGCTTACATATTTATAACGAACAGTCTAAACGCTGTGTTAATTAAGCCTTACTCCAGCCGACACAAGCGAGTATTCAAAAAGTCTCATTCAAGTTTAGTGTAGGTTCACTTAAAATAAAAAAAAAACCAAAAACAAAAAAAAACACATTAAGCGTGAATAAATATTTGGACGCAAGTAAACCTTATTTGTTGCATGCACAAAAACTAAAGTCAATAAAAATAAAATACAGTTATGTGCGCACACAACAACTTAGAGAGCGTCAACTCAGTACATTTAGTTCCATATTTTCATATAGGTAGGTAGATAGATGCATACACTTCATTTAAGTTTTGGACTCGATGAAGTCGGGCAGAATTGCTGTGTTCGCTCATTTTCTAAGCAGATTTTCGCAACTGCCACTCAAATTTGGCAACGATTTAAACATTGGCGTCGACGTGGACTGCCGCCTTGATGTGCCCATACTCGTCGTTACAGCCGTGTTGGGTATGGCTCTGCTTCTCAGCAAGTCCTGCGCATTTGCGCACGAACCCAACTCAACCACCGTGTGTAGGGAACGCCGCAAGGCTGCCTGTGTCTGACGCGTTGTTGGCATTGTTATATTTACTGCATAGGCGGCTGGTGGCGACAGCGGTGACGTGGGTAGCTCCATATCCAGTATTGTATCTGTCGCAGTAGCCGAATTTTGTTTTAGCAGTTGACGCACACGTTTATTACCACCTGCCGGTACAGTGTTTCTGACCGCGTTTATGGGTTCTATGGGCACTGCTGATGGCAGTAAGACGTCATTTACTTCGGCGCCCAATATCGGTTCGTTGTCCGGTCCGATCACCAGTTTTGTGTCCGAGTAGCGACGTAAGTCTTTTGTTAGAAATTTATCTAGCTGTTCACTTTCAGCTTCGACATCCGCTGCACTGGGCGGCGTTAATGTGTTCGCGTGGCGATAGCTCTCAGTGGCGGGGTAGTCCACCGACGATTCCATGCTCAAACCCATCGAGTCGTTGAGGATGTCGCGGTTCTCCACGAATATCGATGAATTGGAATAACGTTTTGTGTGTGGCTTGTAGGCGAAACCGCCCAAACCGTTGGCCACCGCATTGGATACACCTGAACTGATCGAGGGTGCTTTTTGATCGCCACTACCTGAGAATGTAATAAAGAAATGATTTATTAAGAGAAAGAATTGAAAAAGTTCTTGTATAAATATGGTCTCCCTCAAAGTAAAGTTTTTGAAGAAAACTACTCAATAATCTTAGATTAAAAAAAAATACGCGTATTAATCTTATTTACGTAATTTTTGATTCTACAAGCAAAGTCTTAACATTTTCTTTAAGATGAGGTTTATTATATCTTGATTTTTGACTTTTCTGCAACTTATATAATATAAAACCTTTCTAGGGTTTTGGTTACTGTCAAAAAAGTTAACAGACATATCATCTACGAATATGTATGTATCATTTCGACGTCAAGTTCTTTCCTCACAATAGCGAGTTCATGGTAAATGTAAGGGCTCGTATTTATATCGGATAATCAGAATGTTTCTTCTCGTTGTAGCGGAGCGGTTCTTTCTACTTCATTGGGTGATATCGATGCCTATTGGAAAGGCACAGTCGGTTCTACATAACCGCAACGAATCAAGATTTTTATTCGGCCAAGGACTACAAGCTCAGTACCATTCCTCAAATTTATTCGGGGAATATATTCTGCTGCTACAACTACAGAAAATGCAACATGTATGTTTTATATAAGGTCGGACGTAGTTGTTGTAGCGGAAAAAACTAACCATGAAGTAATTTGGAAAAATTTTGTGGAGTTGAAAGTCCTTGGCCGCATAAAAAACCAGGTCTGTTCCGTTTCCGTAGATCCAACTGTCGTGGGAACAGATGTAGATATTTTAGATTGTTTCTTCTAACCTACATTTGAGGCGTTTCTGTGTAGATGATTTTTGGAAGGAAAAACATATTTCTCTAAGCGCTGACATCGTTGTATTTGGATACCATGTCTTCCACTCTTTGTTCGGTAGTAAAATTTTTTTTTAACTTGCAGTGAGAGAAAGAAAAGTAGTCTCGAATATTGTAATTGCAGATGTTAGGGAAATATTTTATGCTGCTATAACAACATCAAAGCGCTAAGAAATTAATTTACAGATTATTAAATGGACAGGTTTTCCTGAATGTGTATACCCTACTGTAAGATCCAGAACGTACCGATGCTTTCTATTGTTACGTCTTGTCTTCATCATTCACAAAAACAAAGTGTGTGAAGCTTTTAATTCTTGCGGAATAGTTAAACACTTTGACGATCAGTCACTGCTATTATTATTAATTTTTTTTTTTTTAACTTACCACTAAAACTACTCAATTGTAGCGCATGCTCACGACCCGTATCCGTAGAAATGCCACCAGTGCTGAGATCTTGACGTGAACCACCGCAAACGTCATTTACCGAACCGCGACTCGAATTCTCCGAATGCTCGAGTACATTGTGTATTGAATCGTGAAATGGTGTCATGCTACCCGAACCTTGTGGACACGGACGGAAAGATGAGATCTGCGAAACCACATCGTCCAGTGCCCAATCACGTTCGTAATTACTTTGCAGCTGTGCACATTCAATATTTGCCGCTACAGCCACCTGGCCCACCTGCTGTTGCGGCGTCAAATGACTATGATGATGTGTGGTAGGCAAAACATCCGAATCTGTGTCACCGCTCTGTTGCAAACGGTGCTGTTCGGCTGGAAGATGATAATGATGCAATGGATGCTGATGTAATGTCGCACCACCTTCTATATCCAAACTACCAGAAATGCTACCGTTGCCACCAGCTGTGGCGGCATAGTTATAACCATTCGAGGCGGACGCGCCATTGGCTACAATTTCAATATTTGGACCATCACCGGCAGCGGTGGGCACATTTATGCTAGAGGGATGCGGCTCACAGGAGCCCTCGTGATGAGTGCGATGTTGGACAGCGGGTGATGGTGGCGATAAAACATGCACTTTTTCTGGTGCATTTTGTATGAGCAGTATTCTGTAAAGAATTCAGTTTGAGATAAATATATATAAAAATTTGCTTCGCTGTGATAAAAGTAAGAGTATCTGAACCTGTTTCGGGCCTTCCAACGATGACATAGATGCAAATAAGCTTTGCATTGAATATACATGAAGACCACGCCGCCTGTGAGCCCCACTGTTACCACGGCCAATTTCGTCCAGAAGGGCCAATCTATGGAAAATTAAGTCAAAAAAGTATTTATCATACATATTTACAAACATATGGACATACAGCAAGTGTATGTATACCATCTGATCAAAATTAATCGGGACTGGTCTATTTAAACTGCGCGACCGCTCAAACCGAATCGATACATATTTTTTCCTATATTGGCATAAACTTTTTTGTTTGCTTGAAATTTTTTGTTTCCAATGGAATCACGGCTGCGGAGCTCATGAAAATTTTGCAGAAGTGTTTGGTGTCTAATTTATCACGAACACAAATAATTGAATGTATCAAAGTATATTATGAAGTCTTCAAAAACTTGGCTCATGCGAGTCATCCATTCACCTCTGTTAATGACGATAACAACGAACAAGTTAAAGAAACCATCGTGTTGGCATAAAAGTGATAGTAGAGGAACACAACATATTCTATGGATCGAAACAACACATTTTGGTTAAGACCTCAATAATAAACGACGTAAGACGTGGGTTAGGAGTATGACGTCTAACTGTCCAACAGTCTAGTGAATGGGACTCCAAAAATGAGGCGAAAAAAAACTCACTGAAGGCCGTACTGAGGCCAAGGCTTATTTATATTAAAATACGTGAATATAGATTTTTTGTCAGTCCGGGTCAAATTTGATCAGATGCTGAACTGTTCACTTACCAATCAATCCACGCTTCACATCATCAGCGGCACGTTCGATTAGCACACACAGCGACCAAATAACGCATAAAGCGGCGGCGCAATGAAATAATACCGAACAGCAGAGACGTCTTCGTTCAATTCCAGATATGTCAAGGCTGCGCCACTGTAAAGATATTCAAAATTTTATTGCAAATGTTATTACTTCAGCAAATAGATTCCATTTCAATGTTGAAATAAACTAACCTCATTGAATGGTTTGATTTTTGTGTGCATTATAAATGGAAATTTGCATAGTTCGCATGCGTTCGTTTCGGATGCCGTTAGCCATTGCTGTAGACACGCTTGATGGACGTATTTTAAGCTGCCCGCACAATAGCAGGGCGTCAATAACGGATTTTGTGGATCGCTCTCACAATGGCAGATGCGACAGATATCGCCGCTACTCTGAGAGGCTTGACTGCTGCCCGATCCAAATCTGCAAGATACAAAAACAAAACAGCAGTACATTTAAAAAATATATATAATTATGTTACATAAAATGCAAAAAAAAAAATGTAGGGAAATATTTCACTCGGCGGCACGAATGGTAATTTGTATAGTACGTGCATGAGATTAAAGCCGCTAATTATTCGCATTTTGAATGATCAAGGTTTCAATGTTTTTATTTTTGATTTTATCGCGGGGCGCCTATACTAAAAAATCACGAAAATCGCTCACGTACAAGGAAAAACGTAAATACATTTATTTATATGTACTAGGGTGTGTAATTTAGCGGCAACCTTTTATTCGACTGAAAAACAGACTGAAATGTCATTACAAGTATATACGCGAACTAGTCCTTCAGTTTTTGAGATATCGATTTGAAAATTTGCACACGTCCTTGGCTTTCCAAGGAGCTGCTTATTTGTCGAAACCGATATCTGAAAACTATAAAAAAAACTGCAATCTAAACTTACAAATCATACTCAAGTCGTTGCGTTGAAAACATTTTTATTCGACAAGATCTCTTCACGAAACTTGACACGGATTATTTGCAATGTTACAATCTCCGAACAAATTACTTAGACTGACCAAAATCAAGTTAAATATCTCTTTACAACTTTTGCTATAAGAAATACACGTGTGCAGGGTATTATAGCAACGGCGCAGCGGAAGTTAATTGTTTTTATTCTTCTTTTTGACATTTGAGAATTGTAAAAATAAACTGCAAAATTATTCTGGCAGGAAATCGAACGCTGAAAAAATGTTGCCTAAAAATGGCATACCCTAATATGTACATAAATATGCAAGCTAAAATGGTTATTAAATATAATATTTGTATGTCTGTATGCAATCGTGCAGGAATGTAAAATATTTCTTTTAATATTGCAAAAGGAAAGTTTTAATAAATACTTCAACATTATGCAATATAAGAGGTGTGTGGAACGAGTAAAGTGACATTTACGTACATATCTAAGCATATAAATATGTAAAGAACATAAATTAAAATTAAAAATATTTCCTTTTAGTAAGTGGTATTTTAATCACTTAGTATGCCAAAAATGTGTTGTGTGAGTGATGGACGATCACGAGTACATGTGTGGTTCCGAGGTCCTTCCGGTTCGGGGTTAACCATAAGAGCTCTAGTAAGCTTCTGGCGCTGAGTATTCTAGGTATAGCGAAACTGATTGATAGTTTTTCGGTTTATAGTTATTGGGTAAGGCTAAAACTTTTGATTAGTCCTTATTGGTATCATTTCGGCACTTTGTTCTTGACTTGACTCACGTCTTGGCTAGACTTAAATGAAGCACTTTGCGTCCTCCTTTTTGACAATACAGGAGAACTAACTGGTATTGCAATTAAGCGCCGTTACAGATTTGTGATGAGTTCAAGACATTTCAGCTGTAAATGAAACTTTATTCCGTCCCTAAAGTAAGAACATATAAACAGGAATGAATTAGGTGGGACGCTGGTCGATGACTAGGTCCTGTGCGACCGCGAGATCCTTCTGGCCGAGAGTGGATCGCAGGAGGTCGGGGGAACTTCTCGCCCTGAGCAAAGTGCATCTCGCCGCTATGGTAGGAGTTCTCACTGGACACTGTCCAATGGGCACTCATGCGGTACGGCTTGGTGTACTACCCGACGCTAGTTGCCAAAGTTGCATGGAGGAGGTCGAGGTGGAATCATCCCGGTACTTTCTCCTCCAATGTCCGGCTTTCGCTAGGCTGCGATTGAAATATCTCGGCAATCACACTTTTGGCGGACCTGAATACTTATCCGAAATCGATATTGGCCGTCTTAACAAGTTTGTAGTAAGCACAAAGCGTCTCGTCGACTTGTAAGGTATAGGAGTTTTGTAGGTATCACAACGGACTGGCGTCTTAAGCTGTCCAAGTGGGATCCTTTCTGGGATCGACCTCCTAACCTAACCTAACCTAGGTGGGCCACCTAAAATACTGGAAAATAGTGGTGACGTTTAAGTCCTTCAATAGTATGGTGATGATATGCCATAAAATATAACTTAAAAGTGTAAAAAATAGTTCATAATAATCACAATTATATACATTTCAAGTTTGCAGGATTTCATTTTTTTTTTTGTTCTTTAAGAACTTAAAACTTGACACAAAATACATTTGTTCATACTTCATGTTACTAAAATATAATTTAGGGCACAAAGAAGATTTTCCACACCAAAGAGCGAAGTAGAATTCAAATGCGCATGTGTCAGAGGACATGTAAGCGCAAGGTTGCATCGCAAGTTCTGCCAGTCTGTTTGTAAAGCTGGTTTATTTTCTTCAAATCGCCACACACTAACTAATGTCTTATTATGCCGTGAACATTAAGCTTACCACGAAGTTTGTAATAGCCCGAAGCAACCGTCAGAGACCCTACAAAGTATATACGAGTAGGTTCGAGATGGTAGCAGTTACTTTACATAAACAAATTAATTCCTGAAAACACTCATTAAATTTATCATTTTGTTATAAAGTATCACTACACTGCTGACATAATATCAGAAGAGCCGCCAATTCAAATCTGTTTTTTTAACCCCTCTCACCGAACGGTAACCACTTGATGAAAATAGTTCGTTATTCAACTGCCTCTAATTGTTGAGTATTATGTACAATTTCGCCCATATACATACATATATACATATGTATATACACATATGTGTTCGTATGAATGCCTAATTTATTACGAAACAAAATTACGTGTAAAAACACGTATCTATCAACAGTTTAACTGTCAAGATTCATTCGTGCAATTGCTGTACATAAACACACACACATACATATATACAATGCACATAATTATATACAGCTCTTCAAATTGAGTGCATTTATTTATTTGCATGTTAGTTTTATAAGTTCGAATGGAATTTTATTGAACAAAGTCAGCACTATTCAACTGGGAAATTATCAGGAGACCCACCAATATATTTGATTTACATTTCCGCGCTTTTATAGTGAAAACTATTTTTCTTGAAAAGTTTCAATAAATTCTATAAAAAATATTTTATTTGAAATGGTTTTCTTAAAAAATAAACTAAAAACAGAAATTGAAGAAATTTTATTTAAATTTTACGCGAGGTATAAATAAATACATGAAAGATCGATTTTATACACCCAAATAATATTTACTAATATATACGATATATGTATATAATGATATATTACTATGTATATCAATAAATTTTTACGAATTCTGTATAAATGTGTATACATGTATTTATAGACAACTCGTAGCAATTCGTTTGATTAACGAGCAATACGCACTTTAGTGCCGACAATTTACAAATAAAAAAAGTTAATGAATATATTTAGGTGCAAATAATCAATTAACTTTTATTACAGTTTATTTGTTGACAACAATATTGCTTTTCATTTAATAATAATTCGTGTTAGATGTATATATTGTATAAATGCGTACGCATATTCATCATGGGTTTGTTTAAGGTAATGATATACGTACGATTTTTGTAGCCTGAACAGGTTATATAATATTTAGTTTGCTCCGACTCAAAAGGAAACGTCGAAGACCCTATAAATTGCATACATAAATGATCAGCATGATGAGTTGAGTTGATTTAGCCATGTCCATCTGTCCATCCGTCCGTCGGTATATACGCGAACTAGTTCCTGAGTGAATGGATGGTATGAATCTCAAATTTTGCTGTTCATTTGTCGGAATCGCCAATATTAAACCACTGTAGGATATAGCTACCATATAAACTGATCGATCAAAATCAATTCCTTGTACGGAAAATTATTTTATTTGACAAATTATCTCCCCGAAATTTGGCATAGATAATTATCCAAGACAATCTCCGAACATATTGTTTAGATCGGACTACAGAAACATATAATTGCCGTACAAACCAACAGATTAAAATCAAAATAAAGATTTTGTATACCTTTTTAAGCTACCAGAAATGCACCTGAGAAGGGTATTATTGCTTCGTTGTAACATGTTTTTGTTATTGTTGTAACTTTTTTATGAACAATGTTTTTAACAGAAAATGCAAATCTTACCTCTTTTAACACCTTTATTATGTAGGCGAGTATAGTTGCCGTTAGAGAATAGAATAGCAAAATTTCCATTACGAGTGGATATCGACAACTTACTGTAAGCAATTGAGTCGGCTGTCGACGTTTAATAATGTCATGAGGAACTTATAAATTAATTCAATACAACTAAACACCAAATTCCAATGAACCTCTTTGTTTTTCATTTCATTTTGTTTTATTTCATAATTTCTATCAAAAATTTTAGCAATGCTACGAAATACTCTGCGTTTTCAAGTGTACTGGCTTCAGTAGCGTGCCATAAAATAAAATGCTGTTATAGTAAAGGCAACTATAAAGAACTAGCTACCGCAATAGCTTTGCATGAGTTAAGAGAACCACCGTAACACGTCGAGGCCTGTTTGAAAAAGGTATTTCCGAACATTGTACCAAAATGTCAATATTTCCTTTTTTTTACTCTCTGAATACATAAAAAATGTTAGGCCGCTTTAGGGCTCTGCATAGGTCTAACACCTTGAGTAACATTAATTATTCAATTTATGAAACAAATTTTAATTGTTAAACTGTAAGATTTTGGAGTACAGTTTGTATTACTTTCGGCTACATTCCTCGAAATCGCTACTTGAGTAAATTTCTCAAATTTTGTTTTTATATTTGATATAAAATTTGTATATGTTATGTGTGTCTTAATATTCTTCATCACTAATCTTATCTTTTGTTCGTGACAAGCTCAAGCAAATTTGCAGTGAAAACCAGGATAAAAAAAATTAACTATAATCATAATTTGTAATATTCGAGAAAAGATTTACGTCAGAAAAGTATCATAAATCATAACATTAGAATTGGTGCCAGCTTGTGCTCTAGAACCCAGAAGAAACAATTTAGAGATGCATTTTTTGGAAATTTTGTGACAAAATAATTCTCAAAGAATTCCACATCGTGGCATTTTTTTAATGGAACCGTTGGGAGA